ATCAAGATATACCAGGAAAAGAAGGAGCCTTTGGATTATTACGAAATGATTTATCTGAAAAACCATCTTTTCGAGCAATAACAAATCTGATCAGTATACTGAATGATAAAGGTCCGAATTTCGAACCTTCTATACTCAATTATACGATTAACGGTAATGTAGAAAACATTCGACAAATACTTTTTCAAAAGCGCAATGGTGATTTTTATTTGATGGTTTGGCTAGAAGTATCGAGCTGGAATTTTACTACCCAGATTGATCTATATCCATCGCCACAGCAAGTCATTCTTACTCTATCAGAAAATAACAGAATATCTAGTGGGATCCTCTATGCATTCAACAACACGGGCAATGTATACATTTCCGAACTTATTATTCACCAAAATCAAATCGCTTTCAATGTCACTGATAAAATCAGTATTATCCAACTGAATAATAAAAGCGTACAAGACGAAAAATAACCATTTCCCTATTTTTATCTAACTTGATTATATTTCTTCGCATTTTATCCGAAGATTACGAGTGTAGTTCAAATTTAAACCGCCGACATATTGTAGATTTTGAACTTTCTAAATCGGCCGAAATGATTCACAAAAACTTCAATACATTTCATTTTTCCTTTGATAATTTTCATCGATGCGCTGGTCAAAACCTTTTCCTTACTAAATAAGACCTGACCATGAAAATTACATCATTCAACTCAAAATTTAATTCTGCAACGAATGGTGGGCATTTTATTCACGGGACAAAATTTTGGGAAAATGTTTCTACCTAACACATCGTTGCACCGTGTCAGCTTTACATTCAAAGTTTTGCGTATGGACAACTCTAACAAAACTCACCCTCATATCCTTCTATTTTATCGGGAGAATACAGAAAAGTATCAATACATAAGCATTTTTCAGTACTGTTCATATTCTTTTTCGGTAAAAAAAAGTAGTGCGGATGTTTTTAAAAATTATTTCTGCGCACAAACTTTTCTCTCCCTAGTGTCTCCCTGCGGACTATTCTTTCGAGTTTCTGCAACAACAAACATTCCTTTTAGCCAAAAAAAACACGTATATTGTTTACTGACTACTTTTTCGTTGTTTTCGCTTTGCTCGTTACTTTGTTGGCGCATATAATTCCGACAACATGAATAAATCCTTCAAGTGCCATTCATGTTTTTTCTTCTTCACAACAGCCTAAGCTTGACAGGTAAAAAAAAACGCTTCGCCAACTCTATAAGATACACGCAAAGCACTTTTACTTTCACCTACACTGGAAAAATTCTCAAGAGAATTGCTTCGTACTTGTAATCGTATCATGCTCACTCTCTCTCAAACGGACAAGGATTTGTATCCTCGACGGACTGCGCCGTTGGTCACAGTACGCATTCTTACACTTGATTTCTGTTAACAATCGTATTTCTATATCTAACTACTGCTTAGAACCAGTTACCGTCAACTATGCGAACGGCTGAATTAGACAGTCTACCGAATATTCCGGGAAAAAATTTTATATTCTTCACGCGAAAAAAAGCTATACTAATTGGTTTTGTCCTATGTTTGCTCCTTGGTCTTGCTGTAGGAGTACCTTTCATAGTAGAAACAATAAACTTAACAACGACTACAACAACTACCACAAGTACTACTAGCACTACAAGTACTAGTAGTACGACATCCAGCACTTCGTCAACATCGACGTCAAGTGAATATTTTCTTTTAAATTTTCGTGAATCACGATATATGTATTGTTTATTTTAATTAGTGTATCCTCTTGTACCGCCTGGGATGATCATGTTATGGTAATTCGTAAAAGTATAATCTTCATTGAATGAGTTAGTCTATGCAGGAGCGGATCTATCGCAACTGTTCCCTTGGGTTGGGCTGTTTGTGATGGTACACAAGGTACACCTGATTTACGAGATCGATTCGTCCTTGGATCCGGTAAATACACATATGATAATGAGAGAGAAGTACGAGATTTTTTTGCTCTAGGCACTGGCTCTCAATATGCGCCAACACAAACTGGTGGTTCGTCAAGTCAAACACCGACTGTTACCGTACATGATACTACACTGACTGTTGCACAAATGCCAAGTCATTCACATGGTGGTAGCACAGATATTGAAGACACCGGCACAATATATTATGACAACAACAGTAATCCTTGCAGTGCAAGTAAGTATATAATTCATTAAAAGATCGAAGAACTGATTTTATTTCAGCTCCATTGAATACAAGTCCTCCGCGATGGATCAATACAAAGAATTATAATCAATGTGGTACTTGTCAACATCGTCACACAATATCGACAGATGGTGGCAATCAACCACATACACACACAGCTACCAGTACATCGATAAACGTAACACCACCGTTTGTTGCTTTACTTTATATTATGAAATTGTAAGCACTTTTTTCGGACGTAAAAATATAAATAAATAATGCCCGTCGAGAGTGACTCGCATTGCCCTCAACTGAAAAAGAAATCAGTATACAATAATCAATTTGTTATAGTTTCTTTTATTTCGCTTAAGAGAAAATGCTTTTCAATGTGAAGTTTAATTATTTGTTCGTTTTTCAATGCAGTAAAGATACATTGATAGTGAAATAAACAACTACAGCTACATGAAAGAAAAGAAGTAATTCTGTACAGTTTTAACTGATGTATGAAGAAGTGAATAGTGTGTATAAACAATTACGAATAAGAAATGTGAAACAACATATAGTGGCTACAATGAAGCTGAAAGGAAAACTTTCATAAGCAATGAAGAACTTGTGTACTCTATCAAATTTGTCGAAACCATTCTGAAAAATGCATCTATGTTTTCATGCAGAGCTTGTCTAGTCTTTGCATCTCTGGGACTTGAGAATCGCTGGGCTTGATCAATAAGACTCTGTAATTAAAGCGTGGTAAAATAATTAGATCAGCCAAGCGTTTCACTCGTGATAAGGGTACATAGACTGCAGCGATGTCATCTATATTCTTTCATAACTTCAAATCAATTACATCTTTGTTTAAAGTTTGTTCCTGACTTTTGTCGGTTCTGATAGAATAGGCGGGCACAAGAGGTACCTAGGTTATTGTGGTTCGGCTGAATCCGATCGAAACCTGATGAATTCGACTGGAACCGGCGCAAATGATCGCCCTGTGACGATGGTCTCTTTTGAGCTGTAAGGAAAATATTTCGCCGATAGAAAAGCCTTGCAACTCTATTTTGCATAGTCATTTTATATTAGTTTCTTCTGATTCCGTAGTATTTGGTAAAAATAGCCTTATCAGTGTAACAACGAGAACTATATGCATTGATTACATGATGAGAATACAAAATGTTGTTGCTGAAAATCGACTTTGACTTTAATTTTTTAAAGTAAAGCTAAAGTGTCACTCCTAATATAATTCTACAATCGAGCCACTGAAATCCTTTTTTGAGGTTTTATTTGCATACATTTTTTTAAAAATCATCGAATCATAAATCGCTCTTTTACCTTTGATCTATGCTGATAGAAAATCAAAGACTAAGAGATATTTCTCTTGATTATATGAACAATGTATGCTCCATGATGACGTTGATCGATTGTACTTCATTAATTTTTCTTTTACATGCGCAAGACTGGTCACTGACATTGTCGCACCGACATACGGATATTCAATATGTAATAATTTTAATTTTACTGATGATGACAAATATTTTGCTAATAAATCATGCCAATGTGCACCGTCGATAAATGGAAGTTCTCGTCGGCCCATTGGACTTCTAACAACAGGATGCTTACAATTGCACAAATTCACAGTTACTAAATTCGGTGAACTGATAAATTTGAATATTTGATCCACTCTATCCAGTAGCATGAAACAATTATAGATATGAATATGACGAATTTTCATCGGATAGTCAGTCGATGTTTTCTCTGATAGGTTATGTCGATAATATTCGGTAGCTTGGCATCGCACCAATCCCATCTTACGTATATTTTTAGGAAAGTGTATGTTCAGGATGATTAATTGTTCAAACCGATACAACAATGGTGCTAAACGATTGGCATCATATAACGTCAATGTTAAATTAGTAATAGTGTTGTTGATCACAGCTAACGGCATGTAAGTGATTGGATCGATTCCTTCACTATAATTTAGGACCAACTGTTTTAACATTGGTAGTTCTGTTAATAAATATGCGAATGATTGAGCTGCGCGTGCACCCGTTCCAGTGTAACACATATCAGTGAAGTCAATTTTGAGGCGATTTAATTGGTATTTGAAAGTATTCAACATTTCTGGTATCGACGTTTCAAATCCACAAAGAGGAACGTTTAAAATAGAAATTGATCTTAAGCGGCATTCATCAATCGAATTGAACAGAGTTTTGAGTAATTGAACATTTTTATATAAGATACTGATTGAAGTAATATTTTGTTTAGGGAACAGTCGATCAACATTACGACGAAATTTTGTCGTTGTGCACGATAAATTCAAATGTATATTCGCTGTGTTCCAAATCAGTTCGTTGAATCGATGATTAAGGCCAAAGAAAGATTTGTAGATTTCATTACCTGTTAGATAATCGAAAATCTCGAAGAATATCTCCGTTGAGAAATCTTCAAATCTGGTCTTTGTCAGTTTTTGATCACGCCGGCGTTTGGACAATTTCTCCATTTTGTTTCAATTTATTGTGAAGGCGAGACTTTTATATTCGATCGTATGAATAACATTTATTCATCATCAGATGTCAATGATTCAGCGCTTCAAAAAGTGACGTGTAACTTTTTCTTGCACATAATTTCGTAAAGCTTCTACAAAATAAAAACAGACGATACGGTGTCGTTATGACAAACGACAATTCAGCGAAAAATTAATAAAGCGAATATAGATAATGTCGTCAGAAAATTTTGACTACAGATGCCTAAAATTTTTAGTCGTAAGATCTATATTCTTTCTGTTCGTTTTTCTTACAACGACATCTGTCATGTATTAAATTGCTAATAAACTTTTTCTCGGGTTCCTTGTAATTAATTAATTGTTTGAAAATCTCTATTTTCCAATGGATAATCTGTGTATAAGATCTTACATACAAGTAACGCTCGTCGCTCGTCTGTGCCACTCACGACTCACTGCTCTAAAGCCTTTCCCATCTAACACATAACCGATAGCATTGCTACATCAAAGATACAAAAGTAATTAGTCTGATGATCTAAACGTACGGTGTTAATCATATTTCTTTATGGATTGGTTAACGACGCTCATTCTATGCACAAAAGTTTAAAATGCTATACAAATCATATTCGTTCGTGAGAGGATGGCATCATGACGTCTGATTTGCTATTATAGTTTGTTTTGTGGATTGGATGAGGATCCTAAGATGCTACTACTATCGAGGAAGCATAGAAAATTCAGCAAGAGCAGAAATTTGTTCCATCAGTATAGGAAACTAAAAAATCTATCTGTTTTTTTATATAACTGGGAAATGGCTTATATTTATTTGTAACATGCATGTATAGGAGAACCTAGTTTCGCTATTTATTCTTCATGTGCTTCTTCTTATACCACTCAACAGCTAGATGAACTTAACACGTTGACTAGTTTCACTATTTGATCTAATATAATACAAGGAAATGTGTAAGGATTTCATCTTTCAAAGAAAAGGTCGACACGAAACGATATGAATAGGGTAAAAACACAACGTTTTATTCGTATAAATCAATCAGCACGTTTGAACCAACGATGAGCTGTAGCTGAACCACATGTTAAATCCTTTATAAAACAGAAAAACAAACATTATAAAATGTAAGAAAAAGAGAAGATTTTCACTTACAATTTGTTGTTGACCTTGATCATTGACGTAACGAACAACTACACATTCTTTTCCATCTTTTCCTTTCATTGTATGTTCCATTTTATTACCTTTAATTCGAACAATTGCCTATAAAATAGCAAACAAACCAAAATAGCGAAAAAAGAATTGTATATGAAAACCGACCTTAACTTCACGTCCATCCATCGTTGTTTCTTCAAATTCGACATCAGGCTGAAATTCCACTGTTTTTGTTCGAAGTGTACTTTCAGATCGAATCGTCCATTTGCCACCATTTTCACCAATAACAAGACGTGGCTTGATGTTTTTAATTGCCATACGTTTTGCCATTCCCACATCAAGTTCTTTCAGAAATGCGTCCATATTTTCATCATTTACCTAAAGNACCTTAACTTCACGTCCATCCATCGTTGTTTCTTCAAATTCGACATCAGGCTGAAATTCCACTGTTTTTGTTCGAAGTGTACTTTCAGATCGAATCGTCCATTTGCCACCATTTTCACCAATAACAAGACGTGGTTTGATGTTTTTAATTGCCATACGTTTTGCCATTCCCACATCAAGTTCTTTCAGAAATGCGTCCATATTTTCATCATTTACCTAAAGAAAATCAAATGAGTAGATCCAAATTAGATCAATAAAACCAAATCTACTTGATCCCAAGTTCCTTTGAGTGCTTCAACACCTTTGCTATTGGCCATGTTTTTTTTTGTGTAGATTGCTTTGTGAAAAAATTCTAGGAAGAAAAAAGATGAGTATCTTGCTATGATGCTTGACAAACTGGTAGGAAAAACGAGCGTTTATATAGGAGTTTTGCGATGAAAATAGAATACGCCAACGTCATGTAAAAGTGCGGCGAAAGTACGTTCTTTCACAGGAAGAAAAATAATCCACGTTAAGAAAAAGTTCGTAAAAGTACGCCACTGTCAAAAGTAAAAGAACATGATAAAAATATGACTAGTAGGTCACGTTTAGATGCTTTTCCTTTGCATTGAAAGAAAAACAACATACGCAATTTAATTTTCAGTGATAGTTGTTGAATTTTATACAAACGTACTTAAAAGTCCTTTTTCTTTATATTAAAATGTTACCAGATATCTTCCTTTAATGATTGCATTTGTTCAAGCTTATTCATATAAAGATATAAAAAGCAATTCACTATCGCAGAGTGAACCCAAAGCAACTCTTATTTAATTCATTTCTCCGTCAGTAAAAATCAAGCCATCTTTTTCATCCTGGTTTAAATCGATAACATGAAATGAATGAAAGCATTGATCACGAGCTTTCTTTCGTATTATTTGTGTTTATTTTGAAGAATAAATCATTGTCATTATCATCTAAAATTTCATTGCCTTATGGAAGGAACGTAATCTGTCAAAGTGCTATTACAGGCCATAATAACTACGTAGTTGATGCTGGATAAGTTTCGGTTAGATAAATTTGTTGATATACTGGCCATGTTAATGAGATGACTACATGAAATGTATCTGTTGAAGGTGAAACTAATTATTGCCAAATCATCATTTGAATCAGCATAAAAAATCTATTAATGTTCTTGAAATATTATTTTTGAGCTTTCGTTGTGAATGCTATGTTAATGTATTTCAATACACAGACATTTTTTAGACATGACTTTTTTTTGTTAATTGCTCACACATGATTGGTTATTATGAATGAAATCATTTGGTTTTTGCCAAGGATTATTCAGCATATATTATGTATTTACCTTTTTAAGGTAGTAACTAAATATGTACTGTAATTACTTCCTTTGATCAATGGACTGTGAAAGAAAACAACAACAACAATACTAGCATATAAAAACCAATGTAATTTTCTTTAGAAAGTATTCGATACGAAAAGCTGAAACATGTCTTATCCATTTGCTCCAGCGAAACCTCGCCGAAGACATCATAATCACCGTCCACGCAACCCAGAATACGGTCCAAATTATGGATTCGGAGGTCCTAATCTCAATGGGCCTATGTTGATTCCTCCTAATCGTCCGGGTGGTTTTGGTTATCCACCAAATGGTATGATGCGTTCAAACGGTCCACAAANGAAAGTATTCGATACGAAAAGCTGAAACATGTCTTATCCATTTGCTCCAGCGAAACCAAGCCGCCGAAGACATCATAATCACCGTCCACGCAACCCAGAATACGGTCCAAATTATGGATTCGGAGGTCCTAATCTCAATGGGCCTATGTTGATTCCTCCTAATCGTCCGGGTGGTTTTGGTTATCCACCAAATGGTATGATGCATTCAAACGGTCCACAAATAAGACCAGAACATCTTCGCTATAGAGCAGGAAGAAGCACTTATCTTCCGAATGGACAACCTGTTTATATTCCTATGACAGGAGGCGAACTTAATAATACTACTGTTCTTCCCCAGTACGATGCACCTGCCTTTAGTGTAATATCACCTAGTGTCGGCATTGGTGTCCCAATATAATAATAGCAGCTCTTTCTGTATGAGTAGATGTTCTATTCATTGCTAATTTCGTAATTAATATTTTCAACTATATTTAATGACTTTTGCTCTTTTTTTTTACATCAAAACATGATTTCAGCTTCACATAAATATGGAAGTACTCTTGAATAAATTTTAAAAAATCATCCTGAGGCCATAAAAACGACAAAAAAATGAATTCAAATATATTATTTTACATGATAAAATATGTCCTGTTTTTCTGGAATTCAATATAAAATGAAAGAAAGACACTGAAGTAGGAAAGAGACGATTTTTCGCGCTGATTACATACTTCACGTTTTCTTAGATTATTTTTGATTGGATACACGATAAATCAAACATATTTTCACAAAATATTCGATCAATTCAAATGTATTCAATGAAGGAATTGAAAAAGGGGGCAAACGACGGATTTCGTACTCCCGAGATTCCTTGGACTCTCTTCGGATTTGTATGGATCTAGGATTCCAAAAATTCGCCATTTCCTCCACTATTTCTATTATATCTTCTGAAGTTCACTATATCAATTCGAAATACCTTTAACTGGAATAATCGTCAAAACTATAGTTTCAATGTTATTATCCGTTGAAAAGAGAACGTTAGCACATCATATACACATAATAAAACTCACAAATTTTTCATCAATAAGATGTTCAACGATCCCAATTGTTTAAATCACAAGCATTTCGAGCATTGTACGTATAAAAGGGTAGAAATTCGTAGTGTAAACTTTAAATGTGTTAAAACGCCACATAATACCGAACAAGAGTGACAATAGAAATTTCTATCGTAAATATTTTCTGTTCATTAACACTTCAAAATTGTGATTAGTTGGAACATTTATATCAATTATTGAATGCTATCAAGGAATTATCCGGTAATATTTCGGTAATAGTCGCACAACTCGGTCATAATCAAATTGAAGAGGATTCCGAAGATTAAGAGAGCTAAAGATAATAAATCCAACTTCATTTATGTTTAAAATCATTCTTCATCTCAATCACTTTGATCTTTCTCTTGATTATGAACTTTTATAAGATAAGTGCCCTTTTGATTAGAGTATTGTTTATTGACAACATGGACTCTACAACACAGACAACAACAACAACAACTTCTCAACAATTAAATCAATGTTCTAACGAAATTGAGGGTTGTTGGTTAATAATGGTGCAATAAGTCTTTTTCGAAAAAAGAATAGATGACGCAATTTATTCCAACAATTGGGTACTGAGATTAACACAGCGTATGGTGATAACAAACACGTTCCATAGGCCCAATAACCGAATACATTGATGTGTATAGCATCATTTATTGGCTGTGACCCATTGATCAATTGGCCAAGAGGATTGATGGCATAGGGGATGTTAAAAACTAAGTAGACAAATGAAATACTTAAAAGATGCAGTGTCATCCTCTTATATCTGCGCCATTGAATCATTTGATGTCTGACACATTTTCTCACTAAAGTGCGAATCAAAAGAGCGGTGCTAAATCCTCCAATAACGAAACATGATGCCACTTGATGAACTAACGTTTCAATGTTAAAAAGACTCGGTGCAGGTTGCAAAGCATAACATGGATAACCACAAAAGGCATACGTAAAATTGAAACTGTTTTCACATGGATAAAAGAATACGACATAGATGTAATATATGAATATGTATCCAATAATACAGCCAAGAGGTAAATAATGTAAAAAGAATCGACATTTTCGTGTATTTAACCAATTTGCATGAAACGTCAGTAAGTGCCGTTCAATAGACACCCAACACATAAGCAGATTACTGCCGTTATACATACAGATGTCAATAAAGATCCAAATAATGCATGTGACATTTGTCGATGGAGAAGTAACACCCGTTCGAAGGAAATTCAAAACGAAAGATAAATCGACGGTAAGTACAATAAAGTTAATTAATAAGAGAATTATAATAGCATGGTTGTTCAATGTTTGTAGCAGATTTTGACTACTAAGAAGATGAAATCCAACGAACCCATAAGCGGGTAAAGAGAGAAGTTGACATAATTGAAGAACAACGTATGTGATCATTCTTGAAGGAGCTGAAGTTCCAATAGAAAAGCCATTAGGAATCTCTGTTGTAGTTGTATTCATTTTCTTTAGTTGTATATGTTCTAGATAAAAGATAGATTGTAAAACAAAATAGTACATTCATAAAAAAAACACGCTTGAATTCTGACAGGATAGAATGACTGAATGATCCATATCAACTTTCATGTCAGATGCGTTATAATCGAAACTAACATTTAGTTACGGAGAGAAAATTATTCATCATGTTAGAATCTCTGTGAAGACATAGAATTACGGAGATTATATGTGGCGATAGATTATGTTTGGCATTTAGAGTCTGATAAATGTCTATTTCTTTATTCATACATTTATCTGTTCTCATCATTAATTGAGTCTTATATCTTATTGAAGTATAGCCAAGAAATCATTCATGCATTACTATGTGATCTGGCAATTGGATCAGCACTAAAGTAGAGCAGTGTTAGATAAAAGCGGATTGTCCGATCAGGTGTCACAAATACTTATTATATTTAAGATAACCTTATTAATTATGAGTGTACTCCAATTTACGTAGATGTCAATTTACATATTTCTTATGTTTCATGCTGTTTGATTTCGACCTTCTATCCGTAACGATGAAATGAAACAGAGGAAGTACAGAGAATGAAGGAGAAATAGAAAAAAAAATAATAAAAAGAATGAATAATTAGTTAGTAAAGGAAAGACCTGTAGATTAATCGCAATAAGAATAACTAACGACTAAGAAAAATCTAAAAACATTTGTATTTGTGTTTTACTAGTCTGAAGTTGCAAATTTCTAACTGGATTTCTAGTAGATTGCTAAACATTTGTAACAAAACCTCAAATTCAAAGTTTTGATCTTGTTATACTCATAAACACAGTAATGAGTCCTGTGTTCACCTCGCATGAAAATAATGGCGCGGCTTTTATATTTAAGATGCTCAGCAAAGGACTGTATTATCATCGTTATAGTCTTACTCCAAGCAATAGATCGAACACTTATGTTATATTAAATCGATATGGGATGAGTTGAACAATCCATCTTATCTATTGAAAAACTTGTTGACTAAGTTAGGATGTCAATTATTCTCGTGACGAGTATTTGACGTGAAGATTTCTAAGTCACACTAGTCTTTTGTATGGATCTATATCTAGTTTTAGTTGCAAGATAAAATATTGTTTCTACGATATATTTCATAATGGGCGGATTGTCAGACTTTCTGTTTTCTTAAGAAAAAGAGAAGATATTCGTGCGTAATACTTTCTCTTTTTATGCTGTGGCACGTTCACACTTATTAAATTCTACTGTATCACAGCGTCCGATTGTTTTCTCTGACGAATAGATGTGACGAAGCGCACGATAAACGCAAACATGAGCGTATGAACACATCTATTTCGAGAAAATACTTTCTGCTTGCAAGTTAGAACATCGACGAATCGTTTTCGATAGAATCCCTGAATTCTATCACTGCATCAATTTCGAAATTAAATCAAGAGATACCGAATCTCGATCGATTCCAGAATTCTGTGACATAATTACACTTTCACTAACAAATTTGATGTGATTATAAGTAATATAAAAGAAATACTTTTCTCTGTTCATCATCATCAACAATAATATCAAACATCATTAATCGAACTAGCTCAAGGAAGTTTAAATGGACGTTCTATTGCTACAAAATATATGACTTATAATGATGTTGTATGGAAATAGATTCGAAGAGGGTGCGAGTGTGGGTGGGTATTTTTGAGTGCAAGGAGAAAGTAACCATACTAGCAGAGGTTATGAACTCTTCATATACTAACACGAGGATCAGAAATGTCGGGTGGGATCAAAAGATTTTCCCGCCCAGACGAAGTGAGTGAAGTATGATTTTTACAGTTTTCCGCTTGGAGGTTCGGTAATGTGGCTCAGGTTCACTGTGAATTTATTCAGATGAGTTTTTGAAGCGTCTTCAATTATTTACGAAGGGGAAAAAGTCAAAATAATCGCTGTTACTATGCCAAAAAAAGTTAAAAAATAACATTTTTTTAATAACACCAGAATATGTTTTAGATAAGTTTAAAATCTACAAAGTTATTTCATACTCTAACTTAAGAATATTTCTAACGACATCATTCAAAATTCCTATTGAATACGGAGAAAAAAGTGACTTATTGGCAACGCATTATGCTTAACAAATTAGAAATTTCGTTAGCAATGTTCACACGTTTAATGACGATCTTAGCAGGTTGTTCTCTTCATCTTACTTTCATCTAAACTGTCTTCAATTAAAAAATAACAGTTTTCGCGAATAAGGCGTTATTCTTTCACTATATAGCAATTAATATAATGCTTTTTATAAGGGACATTCGGTCGTAAAGGGTTAAAAGAGAATTTTCTCATCTAACAAGATTTTCTTTTGCACAGTGGCGGAGCCGGGGGGGGGGGGGCAGAGGGGGGCTCAGCCTCCCCCCCTACGAGTTGGTTCACCCCCCCATAGCGAAATTTTTGAGAAAATTATTTTTTTTCCTGTTAAAATAATAATGGTTTAGCTGGTATAAAGTATGCTTTAAACTCATTATTGACTGGTTTTACTAATCTTTAGCATCAAATATTCTAAAATATTTGCCTATTTCTATTTAAGTAATGATGAGAATCGAACTGAAATCATGAGTTATTGCCACAAACTCGTCCTATTTGCAACATAAATTGAAGGTACAGGGCTTTCACTAGAAAGTATATAGTTTTTCGAATCTATCTACTCGTGCACTCGAATAAGCTAATTCAATCGCAAGACGTGCAGACCTAAGTCAGAGTTGTGCGAAACATAAAAAGAAAACGAGCGATATTTGAACGACAAATCACTGTATTTATTTCAACTAGCTAATATGATTGCATAAACAGCTGGATAAAAGTAGACTGTAGTGCTTGTAACAAATGTTATATAGTTTTAAAATATTTTAGGAAAAATATCTTTTCTGATCACATTTTAGTCTCGATAGATCTTCGTATATGATCATTTTTGTGACTATGTATCAGAAAAATCAATATCTACTATTTAAAAAGTTATAACATGCCGATAGGACACTTTAATGGTTATGTAAAGGAGTCAGAAATGTGAATAAGTTTAAAAGAATCTGTCTTGACATGCAACTGCTCGAGCTGTAGTAATGAAAAAAATTCGACCGTCTTCGGCGGTGGAAGTTACGACGTTTAAGAAAACTTTCCTTTACTATTATGCATTATATAAAGCTTTATACGAGCAGTTGCAACTAAAATATGCTCAAATTTTTTTGTCGCTTTCGGCGACAAATTCGTTTTCTATGTTGATTTACGATCCCCATTCATCGTAAGCTAAGTCCTTTCAGCAGAGCAATCATGTGCCACCAGTAATTGTTAAAGTATTCTTACCGGTCGGAGATTAAAAAAGAAACTGTAATATTAAGTTCGATGGACCAAAAAAAACATTTAGGGGACTGAGCCCCCCCTATATCAAAATACTGGCTCCGCCACTGCTTTTGCATCGTTAGAGATTTGAAGCTAAGTAAATATTATGTATAACACGCAATATCACGTTTATATTAATATTTCGAATCTTCTACAGAACCTTTCTAGCGAGTGCATGCTTGTACTTCTCTCTAGTTGCTGACTGAAATGATCTCGATGAAAATTTTATTCAGACAATGAAGTAGACACTGGATAGTTTTTGAAACTGCTTGGAATAATATTGTTTTGTCGAATATGGCTTATGAAAACTCGGTACCGGGCACAGAATAGAGCTTATTGTAACTATTCATTAGTAGATAATGAAATCAGCTTTTGACTTTGCGAATCCTTTCTCAAATTGCTCACTTTATTTAGATGATTTCATGTAGGAACAATGATAATCATAAAAGAATACCTAAGAAATACAATTTAATCTATTTATTATGAGAAAAAAAAACGGAAGAAAATGAATGACGAATTTTTGACGACTTACAAAACATTCTCTTTATTGAATTTTGTAGATATTGATTGAAATATTGATTACAGGAAAACGTTTTCAAATATCTTGCAGCTACTGTCCGGTGTATGTTTATCAAATGAAACTATTCAAACGCGTTTTTATATTATTTGTACACAATTTCATAAATCTTGTTCGTTTTTTTATTCGAAAGATAGAGTCGAGTGTTTTATTTCATTAAAATCTATTATAATTACAAGGGAACAGAAACTTTCACAAGTAAACACAAACAATTTTATTTACTAAAACTTAATTAATAGTGTTGATCCGTTGTTTTAACAACACTAATTAGGTCATAGTAATGTAAGTCAAATATCTTCAATACACATTACGGATCAATTGTGCCTGCAGTTATTAGTTGAAACTTAATGCCATTAGTAAATAATTCTTTTAGAAAGTTTCTTAAAATAGATCAAATCACAAATGGGTAGTTTAGTCTTCCATATTCACTTCGATATGAGGAAAATTGCTAATGGAATTCATATTTGATAGTCACGAACACATTAATGTGTGTTAATTAATGGCAAATAGCTTCTATTTAGATTTTAAGTATAAATATCTAAATGTTGAATAAAAATCTCAATATTCTCTGAACAAGTTACTCAATACGAATTTAAATCAAAAAAGAATCTTTGCTAAGTAACTTATTTCAATTCTCAGTAACAAAAAGATATGTTTTCTAGACGAAACATTAATAACTGGCGGAGATACCGACTATGCAAATTAAGGAACGTTTTAACGCGGTTTTATCCTCATAATTGCACTCCCATCGATACTCTTATCCTTTGCCAGTATTCTAATTCTCACTCTCACCCGCAAGATGGTCTTAATTCTATTATTTCATACTCAGAACTCGGAAAAGGTTTACTTCATTATTAAATATTGGAAGTGTCGATGACGAATGATGACATACGAACTGATAAGTGAATAAAGTATAAATTTTGTTGTGAGTAATCTATCCATCAAGCAATATCCGAATCTAAAGCGTAAGCAATTATGTTAGAAGGATGAAAATTTGTAATGCAATGATATGTCAGTATAAAACACACTATTTCATACGGAAATTTCATCAGTAGTTATTAAAAATTAATATTTTGATTATCTTCTCTCTAGTTCACTAGCATTTTACTGATCGTTAAATATTTATACATGAAATAATAAATAAAACTTCTCGAAAATAAAAATAGCCATGAAAGTACACATATACACATCGGTTTTGTTGTCTATCTATAGTTTTACAAATACACGTCTTTTAGTGAATACAGTTAGATTTTTGACAAAAAATCTTTTCATTTACTAATCCAACTTATTACGTATTATCATCTTTATCAAATATCGAACTCTATGATACACATATATTGCAATCTTTTATTTACTTTTTCGTTACAAATTCTTTTACAGGTTATTATTATTAATTTGACATAGCTCATCCTTCGTTTTGCCTCGAGAATCGTATATTTTCATAAAAAAACAGTATGTCTTACCAACTTTTACTAAATCAAACTAAAATCAACGCGCGATATATCTTCATAAGATTCTCAAGGAAAGTACAGCAGTTTTGACTGCCTTCATCATCATAAGAATTGCTTGATTTGATTTGTAGATATGTATTTTCGACCAGTTTTCTCATTGTTTATAAGAAACTATTCCACAAATTTGATTGATCGCCATTAAAATGAATCTTTTTCATTAAGTTCATCTAATGAATTATTGTTTGAAACTATCAATAGATATTCACAGGAAAATCATATTATAATGAGTTATAACTGTTTGAATATGTGATGGTAAATTCGCAATATGAATTTCAATCAACAGAAGAGATTCTTCTATTGAAACAAAATAGCTGACTGTGAAAATCATGGAGATTTAGAGGTATCAATGGGTTAGTTTCAACGTCAATATCATCAAAACGATCCATATTGTATGTGAAAATGCATTGTCTTTTCCTTTTTCGATTACAACTTTATTGTAACAAAATCCAGAGTTTACATATTTTTCTCCATCAATTTGGCACTTACATTCTTTATTTCAAATCATTTATTATACGAAAAGTTTCGAAAACAAAAGGTTTTCTTATTGTCTGAAAACTATTTTTAACTTCAACAAAATAATCTGTTGAGTAGTGTCAAAGTGAAAAGGAGAAGTCTTACCGCAAGTATTCTTTGCGAAATTTTGTCTTAACGAGGTACAGAAAAAAAGTGCATTTGTGTTTTTCTCTTTCATTCATTCTGTTTTAATATTAAAACATAAAGTTCTTCAATATTCATCAGATTTCGGATACGAACTTATTTTAATCTATGACTGCGGTATATCCATATAAAGTCAGTCGTGAACGTACAGACATGTTGGTTATTATGGTTTAATACATAAAAAGAGATTTTTTTTAACTTTCGAAATGATTTTCACATATATTTTGCTGATTCCTATAAAGACAAGAACTGAATTTAATTTTAATCAAAATTTTCTTTGAATAAAATCAAGATTTAGAACATATGTCATCATCGTCTTAAAAGTTTGCGAAATATAAAAGATGGCGCTTCTTGAATATCGTGACTAATTTTCACCTTACCACAGTCGGTATGAAAAAAACTGCGTCAATCGGCGGTATTTGTTTGAAGATTTTTCCGCGGACGGTGTTTGTGTTTCGTATTGATATCAGTAAAAAGAATTTGAGTTTTGTTGATTCTATTGGTCAGTTCAAATTCTTAGGAAACCATATTTTTATCTCCCTTTCATATGAAATTTACTTTTAAAGATTTGAAAACTAAGATAATTATCGGCACTGGAAAGAATTTCTGTTTCTTATGTTTGATTTATTCGACATATTGATATCACTTCAAAATGTTGAATAATATATTTCTATCAGGATTTGTACGACATTATTCTTAAGCGCATGCGAGTATAGATGCATGCAAAGGATGTGAGGTGTTGTCGCGGCTACTGAATGCACGTCATTTGAAGTTTCAAACATTTTATAGGAAAAAATCATTTGTGATAGACAAAACTTGTATTTTATAATGAATCTGACAACATTGGTTTAGTGTTATCTTTAGATGGCACATTATTTTCGTATTAAAATCATTCATAAAGGCACAGAATCGACTGATAAAATTTTTAAAAATTCTCACAGTGGCAAAAGAATTCTTGATTATCGAAATAAAAGCTCTCTTTTTTAAAAATTTTCTGTTTTTCTAACGTATGAAGAAGACGAATGAACCATACACTACAAATTTACAATAAAGTCGTCTACTCAAATAGATGTGCAATCGATGACCAAGTATTTTGGGTTATAATAGTGTGCATGAAGTCGACATCGCTTACGTTTCCTATTCTAGTGTTACTTATATATCACCTAGATAGAAATACAACTAAAATTTGAAGCTGCGCACAGCCGAATACATAAAATTCAGATATGCACAGCAAGATATGTATAGCGATTAATGGAAAAATGTCAAACACATTCCTGTTGATACACGTAGCTTTCTGAAATCTGTTAAGTTCTTCGATTAACATTAGGTACACCTTCACTATTTAACCATTGTAATCAAAATTGCAGCCAATGAGGAAAAACTGGATTCTAGTTGAGAAATCACTTGAAATCCAGAAATCAATTCATTTCCCCTTGGTCAACTTAGTCAAAGTCTGGTTACAACTGATTTTAGTTTGAGAAACAAAATCTATTGTCATTCTAGGTAGAAAATTCGTAATCCTATGTTGGACTTTCGTTGGTGTATTTCAAAATCTGACACATTACTGTTTGTTAAACCTGTGGGCACTAACGAATGGCATGGTTATTAATGGAGTCAGTTACGTATGATAACACTTAAATTGATAAGTTCAGAACAGCAATTATTCGTATGTCTTTCTTTGCAAGAAGATTATGAAAATGAAGACTTTAATTTTTAAATGTATTTCATATTACTCAACCATCAAGATAATCTGTATTGTGAATCCTTGATTGCTTTTTTTCATGAGAAAAGGACAAAGAACTCTATTGACGCTCAATATTAACCATTCAAATTTAGAAATCTTTGCTATTTGAAGAACATTTTATCACTTGGCATGTAAATATGGTTGAATCATAAACTATTTCAGAAAAGCTAAGAAAATGAAACTACCGGAGAGCTCTTGTGCACACCAGTATTGGTTGGAAAAAAAAACTTGTCACAGTGTAGTATTGTAAGTTTCTAGAAAATGGTTTTTTCCAAGTGACCGGAAATTTTCCCCAACAAAAAAGTCTCTCACTTTAATATAAAATAGTGCTTTAGAAAATCAAATTTCTCCATACAATTTACATTTATGTTTGTGAGTGAAAAATAAGACTGAGAAAACATCGGAAATGACAAAAAGTTTATATGCAAATCGATTCAAAAGAAATGACTTCGAGTATACCAATGAATCAGTTATCGACAATCGATTGAAATGTTCAATATGTAAAGAAGTCTTTCAAGATCCAGTCTTTATAAAAACTTGCCGTCATGATTTTTGCAGAACTTGCATTGTACAATGGCTCAAAACAAATCAAAATTGCCCAATATGTCGACAACCATGTTGTGTTAATGATTTAAATCCAAATCAATCTCGTATTATACTTGATATGCTTGATGATCTTCGTCTCAAGTGTCGTCGATGTAATGAAACAAATATTCAACCTAGTGACAAAGAAGCTCATTTGAAACGATGTCCAAATGTCTTAGTTAAATGCTTAGCTTCTGATCTTCAATGCAAATGGGTAGGAAAGCGTAGCGAACTTCAAAATCACCTTCAAACGTGTATTTTTCAACAATTACATCCGGTTATTGAACAACTACGAACAGAAACTCAACTGAAAGTTGAACAAATTAAAGTCAAACTAAATCACACTCAGCAAAGTCTAAATAATCTTCGGCTAGCTTATGTGCAACAAAAACGTTTCATTTCCGCATTTATTAACAATGGTAAACCGATGACAAATATCTGTACAGTCTCATCACCTAACTCTTGTAAAATCATGGTGAATTCTGGAATATTACATCAAGCATCACACTCTTGTGCAGTATGTGAACAAATGGTAAATTTCGATGCTATCGCGTTACATAATTGTATGGGCGGAATCATCTGTCGAAGGTGTGTACATAAGTATTCTCGACAAGATCAAAAAAATCAACTCAACATACAAAATAGATCACGAAGTCTCAGTCGACCTGTTCATAGAACAGATAACTCAACACAGAATGTTGTTATAACTAATATATTTCCAATAGCATCTCGAAGAACATTCTCTTGAAGATCGACATCAGAAGATGAACGTGAGATTCGATAGAGAATTTAGACTCTCATTTGCACTACTCTAGAAATGCCACTTTCTTTTGATTTTGCTTGACTGAAAAAAGTAAACATGTCATGTATGAATATATAGACGGCATATCGTTTGAAAAAAAGAGAATTTCTCAAACGATGGATAACTACAAAACTTCTTCAATAAGAACATTTCTTTACATAGATCATTGTAAGTTTTGGATCGATTTACAGCTACTTTGGTTTCGGTTTGATTCAGCTCTTGTGAGAAAAATTGGAGATAGTTCAACTTTTTATAGAGATTATTATAAGGAACGTCATCGAATTACGTTTTTTCAAAAATGCAAAAAATGATATAATTTTGATGGTTTATTGACATCGGTGATCAGCAATATCATCTACCAAATATTTAATTAATTTATCCATTTCTCCTGAAAACAGTGCATCTTCGCTTGTATCGGAAAAACCATTAGTCTCTGCTGAAAGAACGAAGATACCCGATTGTGGTACACTATCTCACAATACTCGAGAAAAGTGGGATGATAATGTGATGAATGTTTAAATTGAGCTTTGACTTTATTATCAATATCCTGATCATAATATCTTGGAAAATATTCATGTTTTTTTTGGAGGTGGTGGTTGTTCTGGCTGATTTTCGAACTTTTCTATTACCTCTTTGATGTCAATATACAAGATAGCTGTCATCAGCAGTCTAATAATCATAGCAGCTTATTGTACCATAGGTCCCTATCCCATTTTTCTTTTAGTAACGATAGAAAACCTGAAAAAATAGAGTGAATCCATGGAGATCTTTTCACTTTAAAATATCAGTATTGTTTAGAAAACACTTGATCTGATGTGTACAAGTTCTCAGTATGGTAAAATATGCCAAAAACATGAGATGTACTTTTGAGCTTTCGCACTGTGTATAGTACGTGTAATAAAAGAAAACGATAGGGAGAAACCAATTCACATCGATAGTACATAGATAATTATTCGTAAAACATGATTGAGAAGACATATAATAATACTATTATTTCATTTTGTTTGACTTTTCTATGAAAAAAAATCATTTTTGGAAATCTCATACAAGCGACAAAACGTTAGTTTTTATAAGAGAAGAGACATGAAAATGAAAAAGTTTGATTCTTTTGAAATCTAAATGAAGCAGCTAATGCTATGTTACCGCGTTATTTATAGAAGCATCGAAACAAAAAAATAACTGCTCTTTTTTATCATTGCATTTGTATTGAAAATGGGCAACAAAATTCATTCTATATCTATATATGTATGATTCACAAGACTGCTACAAAAAAAGAATAACATGCACTACGAAATAAAAGATCACAATTCACTAGAAGACATTGGGTCGTACACCGGTAATTTGTACATATCTCCCCAAACGCTTGAAAGACAGACAGATGCATGAAAACGAAAAAATATTTGAAGGGGTGTAGCGGTTGCAGCAATGATCGACCATGGAATAACATTGTAGAATTTCAGCTGAGTTGTATTAGCTTCGAATTTGGTCGTAGTTGTCGTTTTTTGAACCCAGAGACTCAAATCAAGTATAATTAAGAGAGCGATCATTTCACGCGCTGGATATTCATGTTTACTTGTTGGTCTCAGACGTTTGCGCAACACAACAAGAATGAACAATGTGTGAACGGTCCCTTCGACAAATTCTATAAATCATTAGTCGATAATTAATCTATCAATTCTTTGGCGAAATGATGAATCCTACCTAAAATAATCACTGCTAATTTGACATGAGCAATCCATGTTGATGAAGATAAGTTGCTTATGATAGCGAAAGCACTGAAGACCGAATACAAATAGATGCCTGTCAATGATACAATCATAAGAACATCGTCGAAACCTATTTGACAGAATAACATCAGAACATCTTTGTTTTTGACGATTTTTCTTTCTTACGTGATGTTGTGCGATGATAGTTCAACTTACGAACTCGGATTAACGACCACACAGTGGCACATAACGAAAGCGTCAACAGACACAGATTACCAGTTTCAAGAATGGCATTAGCGTAGAATGTGGGATCCGATATTGTTGCTGTATTTGTATTGGAAGGCGTATGAGCCAATGAAGATTGTGTCATATGGAAAGAATCATCCGATTTGTGTCGTAAAACACCATAAAGAATGATCGAAATCATTGTACAGGAGAAAACAATCAATCCAGCAAAGAGACCTTTTGTCGATGCATGACAATTAACCAAAAAAACATTTTTTGTCGATGCATTATCTGATATTTTATGAAGAAAAGTTTTATCGATATTTTTCCAAATCAGACAGAACAACTAAATAGAATCGATTTGAATGTATAGCAATGAGCTTAAAGATAAGGAGAACTTACTGTCAGACACATCAGACTAAATTCGATTGTACATGGATATAGAATTGGTGTCAATCTCATGTATCCTTCGTAGATAAATGTACTAATTGGTAAGCCGGTGGCACGTAACTTGAAACATTCCCGATTGAAGTTCAGTAAATGACGAGAAGGATAAATTGTACTTTGATTGACTGCTTCAATTAGGAGAAATTTGTTAAAGACGATTAAAAGAAATATGAGAATAAATACTCACCAGTAATCAAATGGTTAACAGTAATACTGTGTTGTGATAAACCCACTCCGTGTTCTCTCATTTCCAAAATCTGGGACTTAGTTTCAACGACCACCATGCGAAACCTATTAAAATACGTTACAATTAGCTACTTTGAATCGGTACATCCATATGTCAGATTGAGAGAAATTACAAAAAAAAAAACGAATTAAAAGATTTCACAGTTTTGATTTTCAAGCATTGTGTTCGTATCGAAATTCGATAATGAAAAAAGTCTCTCTTATTTAAATAACGGTAAACTTACCATACACACAAATTAGTAACCACTATATGCATGATTGCCAATCGAGCTAATTTTTGATGAGATCGAATGATGAGCTAAAGAATACACGGAATGTTTAACTTATATTATTTTAAAAGAACATACGTCCGAATGTTTGAAAATAAAGAAGAATTGAGTGAAGCTGAAGAGTAATCGCGAAGAATTATCAACGACAGATATCCATCGTATACATAAATGATTCTCCAGATTACTTAGAATCGATAAAGCTGAATGAATCACTGTACCAAGACAAAAAACTAAAACGAACGAATTGATAAATTATTCGAATTTCTTGTAGATTCAATGAAGTTTAGATAGAGTATCGGAAAATACTTTACAAAACGAAAATACTGTAAGAATTTTTCATAGTGAATTCCGATTAAATGATGATAAAAACTTTAAAGGTTTAAGATCCATGAGAACGAAAAAGAATAAAGTAGCTATGAATATTTGAAAAATGATATCGTTTCTGTAGTGTCGATAATATTGATCTTCAAACAAAATTATACTGATATTCTGTTTCAATCATCCGTTCGATTAGATGTGAAAGGATACGAACTGATCCCATCTTTGTTAAATATTAGAGGTTCCTATTTTTTGTTCCACTTACTTCCGATGCCTATGCGAGTATAGAGACCATCAACGGTAGAATTTTTATCATAATTGTATCCGATAGTGTGTTTAACAACATGGTCCTTTCGATCATGTTGTTCGATTGTATTGTGAGTATTTTCATGAATCTGAACACTTTTTCTTATATCAGTTGATGATTTCTTTGTCAACGATAAATGTGATAGATCTTTCAAAGAGTTTAATTTATTGTCACGGTCATTCGAAGTAGTTATATCTTCAGACACATGATGTACTTGCAAATCAGCATAAGTTGCCATTGATGATTTTCTATTTGCTTCTGACGATGCTGATTTACATTTGTTTGAAATGCGTTGATATCGATGAATATCAATCATACAAAATGTAATCCAAATGATGGATACCCAATATAGATAGATAAAGTAGCTCTACAATAAAGTGAGATTGATATTAATAAGAAGTCTTAGTTCTTCTTAGAATAGTGTCTTCACCCTAGCCAAAATTTTGATCATTTCGGCTCTTTCTCCTTGTACGATAGCATAGGAAACTGAAAAAGCCACACCACCGAAGAAGACAACTAAACAATTATCGCGTTTATATAATGGCCAAAGACAAATTTATCTGTCTATGATAACTGATCGGACGAGCAGCTGAATTCAAATCGAACATCACTTACCCAAACCATAGAGAATACTGAAGATTCTGTAGGCATTGATAGCCTCCTCGTTGATTCTAAACAGAAAAAAAGAAGAACAAACATTATTGAATATGAAATCAAAATTCGGTTAAGAGCTGTACATAAATATTCTACGTCAGATTGAAGTTCTCATGACAAATAAATGATGTGCTGAGATATCTCTCATCTATCTCTAAATCAAACCAATATTCATATTTAATAAACTAATCGATGACATATGAATGACGATTTTAATATTTCATTGATCAACAAAGAATTACATTCAATTCTCTACAAAATCAAATACAACGAGCAAATTTTACATAATAAAACTATGATGTTCATGTAGATTAAATAGAGCGCCGTTTATTTGAGATTTTCTTTTTCTTTGAATGAAGACTTACAAACAACTCTTGTAGACGAATGATATAGTTCAGATTACTACTTTGTTATATAACATTACAAAATATTTTCTCATGTGGATTCGTCGAAACTTACATGAAGAACTTTTTCAAAAGAAAACAATTTTAGATCATCTGCTTGATAAATATTTCGATGATAATTTAAGAAAAATATCAACATTATATTTATTCATACAAAAAAAATGGAAATACCTTTTGTGAGTTTCTGTCGTCATGATTAATGGTTCTTCATTTGACGTTCCAGTTGCGTTCATTGTCTCTGTCATTAATTCTATAAAATGATAAATCTGGTACTAAGATAATTCGTCGTGAATAATGTCGTTATGCACATAGATTTTTTTCTTTTTCAAGAAACAGCGAACTACTCGCGACAAGCTGCCTTGTGACTAGCTGTTTGATACCGATTAATACAGAATGCTTCAAAACCTTTACGCTCCTCCGTCTGATTCTATCCTAAGGTCAAATGACTTCATTTACAATTTTGTATCAAATCGAAGACCATAAAAAGCTTCATCGATCAGCCTAATTAGACGAAATATTTTCTATTGCATAAATAAAAGATCTGACACAATGATATGTTTGAATATGTGAAATAACTATCGCCATTTAAGGATTATTAGTTCTAGTTCTAACGTAACGGAAAAAGCTCTCTTTACGAGCAACGAACACTGAAGAAAGGAAAGAAACAAAACAAGTCGAGAGACAATGCTGCTGACTACTTATTCTTTTTTTTCTCCATTCTTCTCTTATCTCTACGTGCAACATATGCATGCATTGTTTCTCTCTTTTTCTTCTCTTTATTTCTTTCTTCCATTGTTAATCATGACTACGTAATTGCGCACACACTCATGGATTCTTTGACGTGTTCCAATTTGGTATGAAATTCTTAGTGGAATCGCCTGATTTTTGGATAGAAATGGAAACGTGAATGTTTTGAGACATCGTATATTAATAAGCAAAAGAACAAAAATGATCAGAGAAATTTATAAAACTCTTCACACCATTCTGCTATTTTTGATAACCTCAATCAGGAGAAAAATCTTCTTGAAGTATGCATTTCTCGACTTTTCTTGGTTATTTTATACAACATTTTTCTTCATCAGCAAGCAAAAAATATGTATTAAAATAAACATACTACTCGGGGTTACCAATCGTATACCATCTGGATGGATATATTGATCTCACAACAATAGTTCTAACAGAAAAAAAACTCTCCCAGGCTGTGTCTATAGATATTGGACTCAACTAGACAAACATGTAGAAACAGCATGCGGAGCACTAAACGATCAATAACTATGAGCAACACTTGACTTGTAAACATTGAATTTGAAACGAGTAGTAATTGTCCAAATAGATTAATAGAAAGATACTCAAATACAACAGCTTCACCTCTTTCTTTTGAACAAACACTTACTATTTGAATTTATTCATATATAAGTACTTTCTTGAATTGCCATGAAAATGTTTAAGTATGAACACATCAATTTCTAGAAATAATTAGAAAAAAATTTTAATGATCCCAACAAATTGAATAAAAGAAAGGGGATGCATAACCTGTCAGCTAAAAAAAACGAGGAAATGAAAGAAAGCATGTGCAATGCCATTCATTCATGATCCTCTGACATCTATTCTTTCTGTCCTCTACCAAATACTTCTGTATTTTTACAGACGCATGATGTCACTAAATGCTGTGAAATTATTCTATTCTATTCCATGAGAGGAAAAGCGGATTCTGGATTCTAAAATTTTGTGTATTCTTTCTGATTTTTTTTGGATCAGTATCGATATTTGCAGAGAGACAAGACATGTCTCAGGTTTTCATATATTTAAAAAAATCCGATTTTTCTCTCGTGTTCTTTATATTAGAAAATCTAGAAATATCTTCAAAGGACGCAGACACTTTGTTCTATGGACGAAATAATCTTAAAATGACGACCACATCTTTAGGATCATCTGATGAATAAAACGTCCTCGTCTTATTAGAGATTTCTTATTTTCTTGACTACTACAGCGAAACAAATCAGCTTGTTCAGATAGGTACTCACTTCACATTTCATATTTGAACGAAATTGAATGCAGCAAAGGCAACGAGATATACAAAATAAAGCTATTTGCGAAGTCCATTTGAACAAAAAAAAACTATACAGAAGATTTCAGCAAACAAGGTAAATAAGATTAAATTCACATTTCAAAATAATCTTTGTATACGCATACGTATTTTTTTAGGTTGAGATACAAAAGAATGCTATTACCATTTTTCAACAATCTTGATGCACATCAACACCCTCAAGAAATAATTCTTAGTCTATTTGCAATTAATAGAACGATTTTTACATATAAAAAGAATAATAATTGTATCTCGTTGAAACCAAGTTCCTCCATTAATTTTCCGAAAAATCGATTGATAAACTTGGATATATAATATTCTCACGACAGATTGATCATTTTGTTCAAAACAAAGGAACTCTCTAGGGTGCACCTTTCATGAATTCAAAAACTGGATGTTTTGATGTACTGATTAGAAATGGAGAAGAAATTGATATATTGGAATAAAAGAAGAAAAATAGATGTTATGATTACTTGTTCGTTCTTATATATCTTTACTTGATGATGTCATCATTTTTTATATTAACTATAAATATCATCTGTTGACTGTGAATTGTTTTTGATCTTCGACTGTATTATTTATTGCAAATAAAATAATTTCAAAACACGTCTCTAATAACAAAACTAGTATTATGTTTTGAGAAAATATTTTCTTGAACATCGCCTTCATCCATAATCACGATCTTCAGGATGAGCGTGTTCATTCTTTTATCATTTCTCTCACTCTCACTTTCAGCCACGCTCTCCCTTTCCAACTTAGAATATAATTGGTGATCCGATAGATGACTCTGACGACAATTGAACTTCGTAGGGGAGAAATTAATTGAAGTAACAGAGATTTATTCTATATCAACATTAGAAACTGAAGAGAACTGTCGCTCTGTTTGAATATTTATCAATTGGTTCTGTATGAAAAATTAATACTAATAATTGTTATTTTTCATCTTGAAGTTCATATGTTGTTCTTTTTCTTTGTTTCATAACACCAGCAAGTAGCTGTTCAACTTTTAAATCCGCCATAGACTGATAGATGATCTCGAATACAATTCTAAAGACAAGACCCAGCCCATGTTTGCTATTGCGGTCAGATTGCGACGCAGTTGCGGCGCAACTGCGATCGCACTGTGACCCGTAATTGCGAAAAATTGCGACGCAATTGCGCGCAACTGCGGTAAAATTTCGCAGTTACGCGCAATTGCGCCAAAATGAATCGCAACTGCGCGTAACTGTGATAAAAAATCGCAGTTATAGATAATCGCAAAAAGGAGCCTCATATTAGCACAATTCGATATTCATAGTGTGACATGCGTTGCCTTATTGATAATCCATGGTCAAAATCTTCAAATTTAGCGAGAAGTATAATTTATTCTTTNCATTGAAATTGATTCAAAAGTTAAACATTCAACAAGATCATGTATATTGGGTAATATATGTGAACAGAACCGATCAAATATCGGGTAAATCAAGCAACTAGTCTTGTCATGATCGCTCGTCGGTTGTATCAATTCAATAGACTGAGCATAACCCATATTACGAATCAATGTATCAAATCTCTGGTTAACCCCTAGAAATGAATACAGCATATCAATTCTATCGAGTTTGTTCCAAATATAGCAGATCAATTCATTTGGAAGGTTTGTCAAGCTAACATTTGTCTGTTTCATGGTCGATTCAAGAAAATAAGTGTCAATAAATCAGACGGTAGACTGTTTTCCTATAACAATAAAATAAAGGAAGGCCATATGTGCCAATCAGCTACAATTTTCGTTCGGCAAAGGAGACATCTAGCTCGTCTAGCATTGTTAGAAAATCATGCATTGTGTTAGTGAAAATTCCAATAGGATGACCTAGAATCTTCAACAAAGCTGTAATTCTGTAGATATAATATGTATTAGAGAGGATATTTGGATGAATTTTTTAAGAAAACGAAGAAAGTATATTCTCGAAGCGAGTATTGTATTCCCATCTGCTTGACCCAATTTTCTACTACGCCATAAATCCCACAAACTCGATAATCACCGTGATCAGGAATTGTTAGCTTATATTCACTTCCACCAGCAATATCACCAAACCATTCACTACGTTTTTTATTGGTAATAATCTGTACAGCATCGATCCACACACCACTTTGAACACCGAAACCTTGAATAAACTCGCCATTCTCCATAGGAAAGTCGTGTGGTGATCCACCTCTCTTTCCAAAGAGAACTGAGTGTTCTTTAGTGAAGAATTCTAGACCATCCAAAGCCAAACCCGAATGAACTACGACTTCGATCAAAAGGGCCAGTAGGGTGTGAGGGTATGTTGATTTTACCTTCTCCGTTAACTCGACTTCGTAATTCTTCCTTCCATAGAATAACTTCGGCAGGTGGATTTTCAAGATAATCTATCCATGATTTTGCAACTTTATCGTGTTCAAGATAAAATTCAATAGCCAAAATGCCGTTCGTTGATTTCAGTAGAATACCTTCATCAATCGCAAAACATTGTATGTGACTTTCCGACAACATTTCATCATCCGGTAGTGCAAAAGATGGATGTACTCGAAATCGAACCATATCCATCGAGAGCTGGTGGACCAGGTGGTTCAACGACGCAAAACGATCGATTCAAACGAATGTAATCTCTCATCATCACACCGTTCTGTTCATATGGACAACCGAGTGCATGTCCTATTTCGTGCAGCACCGCTCCAAGACCAACATTACATGCAATCCAATATTTATCACCTTCTGCATCAATACCACAATGTTTCGTGTCAACATCCCTTTCATTCGTAAAACATGGAATGACATCTTCCAAAGTTGCTGGCCAGGAAAAAAGATTGTGAGAACCAAAGATTCCTACCGAATATTGTGCATCGATGCTCCCCGAACCTAGTGTTGCATGGCCTGTAATCAGATTATCTTCATAATGTGAGTCTAAGAGTAGAACTGCGACATAATTTCTTTCTTCTTGAAATTCAGAACGAATAGCTTCTAATGCAATATCGAATAGAATGTTCTTGTTTTTACCATTCAAATTCTGTTGTGCCCGACTTGGATGTCGAATTTGAGCAGTTGTATATTTACTTTTTAGAACATGAATCATTGCTGTCTGTCTTTGAGACTGATCTTCACCACTGAGTGTGTCACGTTGGTACGATTCATCAAGACGAAATGTTCGGTGACCAAATCCATTTGAAAATATTTGAGAAGCTGTGTACGCTTGCCATAAATATCCTGCGAGACGTAATTTTTTGATAGCCGTATCTAAATTAGGTGGATATTGGCAGTCGGGAGTGTCGTCGAATGTCAGCGGTGAATCACAGCCAACGAGAATGCATAAATTCAGAGGAGGATTTTGTAAAAGTGGAACATAATTGACTATCCAAAACAGTGATGGGATCGGTTCGTGTTTTTGCAAAATCGAACCGATCCCATCACTGCTACATACATTATTTCATGATTATTTATACAGAAAGAAAAATAAAAGCGCAAAAGAACAGTGCAGTCGAAATCAACGACTATAATATTGAAACGAAAGTGACACATATTTTCTTCGTTTCGTTGTTATTGCACACAAACATAATCGATTTCTCTTCTAATACATTCATTTCTATTCGAAATGAATACATTTTCGACCATTGAAATCTTACCAGATGAAATCATATTAAATATTTGTGCATATCTTCATCATAGTGATATATTTTATTCTTTGTTCAATCTCAATACTCGTTTCAATGCGATCACCAACAGTTTTTGTCACTTATTGAGTCTCAATTCTACAACACATAAGCAATTTAATTATCTTTTGTCAAATATTGGTTTGAATATACAATCGTTTGTAATCAATGCAAATTGGGCAAATTTTCTATCGAAGAAAATTCCTCCGATCAATATGGATTCAGATTTGGCACAAATGTTTCCAAATTTACAAACATTGACATTGGAATATTTTACAGGTGAACAATTATCAACATTTCTGGAAAATTTACAAAGCCCTTCAAAACTTGTCAAACTTAATATAAAATATCTTCTGGAACACCGTCAAAATGAATTATTAGATTTAGTTTTATCTGTGAATAATCGTCGAGTGAAATTCATAAGATTCGATCAAGCTTCAATCTTCTTACCATTGAATATCACCGATAAAACAATCTTCTATCAAAATATTGAAGAATTGATCGTTAATTTAATCGATTGTGAAATGTTAGGAGATCTATTCACACGTATACCGAATGTACGTCGTTTACATATAAATCTGGGATTGTCACCATTCGTATCAATAGAGAAATTGAAGAATATCTCACCACTTCTTCATTTAAACGATTTTAAATTATATTCGATCCAAATGACATGGGGATTTGAAGAAATCAATAATATTTTGTGTAAAATGCCATCGTTACACAGAATAACACTGTGTATTAGTACAACAGACAAACGTCTTGTTAATAAAGAAGATCTCGCCGTGATTCTTCCTTTATCATTGGTACAGATGAATTTCTTCATTATATATAATTTTGCAGAAACATCGATCGAATTCGATACTTTACTTAATACATGGCCACGGGACCAAATTTCAATGACAAGATTACCGGATGGATCTAATCAATACGCTGCTATTCAAACAATTCCTTTCAATATTGATTCGATCGTTTTGCTTTCCATATTAGCGAAGAATATGTTACCCGCTTGGAAATACATGAGAAATGTTCAAAACTTAAACATTCATAGAGGATTATCTTCGAGTGACATATTGATGATTTTGCAACATCTTGATCGAATTCAAACACTCAAAATTAACGCAACCGCAGCACAACTCCTACAACCAATCGTTTTACACTTACCTTACTTTAAACAACTGAAAATTACCGATTCGTGTGAATTATTTCCTATATTTAAAGCAGCGCCGAATCTGAATCATTTATCAATTGATTTCGGTGGTTACAATAGATTAATCACTGACGAATTATTATGTGAATTATTAGAAAAACAACTTGAATGTCTTGAAATTTGTCGATTACAAGGCAACTCAACAATTAAATTCGACTTAATTATTATTAAATTTACAAATCTTCGTCGAATGATTTTAAGTACAGCAGACTCAACAAATGACATCAGTTCTCTTATATTACAAGCTCTTGAAGTATGGCGAGATGAAGAATACATTTATATTTGCATTAAAGGTACTCTTTCACGATATGGAAATGAAACTCTTCGCGAATGGTTCAATAATCATAATTGTTTAACAAAAAAGGACTCCTTTGCTTTTGATTATCACGAAAAACGTGCTCATATATGGCTTTGATGAATTATTCTACTCGTGTGTCCATCCCATATCACTAAAATATCGATCAAAAAACGACTTCAGTATACCAAGGATAAGAATAAAACTTGATTTATCAAAGGTTTTGATGTTCATTTTCGTTTTTAAGAGAATTTTTAATTTCCTTTTCAGTTCTCTATACTACCTGAAGATCAATTTCGATTGAAATACAATGTTGAAAACACATTCTCATTGTATTGGGCAACTTTCAAGCAGTTTCTTTTTATTCTTCTCTCATTCTAATAAATAGACTCTGACAAACATATAAATGACGTCAATTTTACATTGTATACTGCACGTGGTTTCTACGACGTAAGCAAATACAAAATAAAGCACAGAGAAGAAAAGTATCGCGTTGCATTTTAGATGAAAATATGGCTTCATGTACGACACAGACATCAACGTGTAAAGAATGTCGAAATGGAGTAGCTAAATGTACTGGATGCGGTAAACAGTATTGTATTAGTCATTTTACAGCGCATCGACAGGAGTTAGTTGGACGAATGGGAGAAATTGGACAAATACATGATGAATTACTGTATAATCTTGAACAAGAAAATTTAATGTCTGAATTAACTTCATGTATCGAAGATTGGAAACACGAATCAAACAAACAGATTGAAAGCACAGCTAAACAAGCTCTACAAGATTTACAAACTTGGTTTAATCAGATGAAATATCATTTTAAGAAAGATCTGAAGGAGTTGAGTGAAAGTTTGAAATCGAGACAAGAATCAAATAATTATGCCGAGAAAGAACTTGACGAATGGATGCGAAAATTATTGCAAATGCGACAGATGATCAAGAAACCACCATTAATCGATATTGTGGAAGATAAAACCTGTAAATCCATTCATATGATCAAAGTAGTTGACCGATCCATACCTGAAACTGCAAGTACGTGAAATTGTTTCTCAATTACTTATAAAAAGATTATATAGTATGAGTATAATGCACTTCGATCCTTACTTGTTCATATTCATTGATGATAGTAGTCGGCTTTTCTCAGAGAAATTAACTTTTGCGTAAAAATAATTAGTAAAGATATGGACGAGCTTTGAAAAACACTTTTAAGTGATTATTTGTGCTTAATTTGATAGCATCTGCCCATCACATCAAGCTGATGACAATGACCGAAGTTCAAGAATTAGCCAAACAGCCAGGCAGATGTGTTATAGTTATCAACAATAAAGTTTATGATGTAACCAAATTTGTTGATGAGGTTTGTATGATTTGAAATGTCAAATTTATTTATTTCGTCTCTGCTTTCAGCATCCAGGCGGCGAAGAAATACTGGAAGAACACAACGGGCGAGATGCTACGTGTGCCTTCGAAGATGTTGGCCATTCTTCTGATGCAAGAGAGCAAATGGGAGCGTATCTAATTGGTCAACTTCATAAACGTGTTTTACCTTGATTCTAAACTGTTATTCAATAGTTTATATGACTCTATAGCTGAGGTACCGCGTTCATTCCGTAGAAAATATGGCCGGGAATTTCAAAGCTTATGTGAAAAGATCGTTCGAATATCAAAGTATTTCGATGCCAAAACGGACGTGAATTGTAAATATATTGGTTGCAAAGTTCACTTTAATTGAAAAGTTCTCTATTGTGTAATAAAATCGCACATTTTTTTTAACTATCATTCATATAGAAAAAGAAGAAGTGAAGTCTTTGTCGATTATAATATTTCAGTAAAGAAGATAGTTTTATTGTTTGTATTGTTTTGTAAATTAAATATTTAAAACTCAACACTCCTGTTTAGTCGATCATTAGAATGAATGAAACAATTCGTAGACACAAGAAATTAGTCGGTTGATACAATGAAATGAGAGTTTACAATTGTTTAAGAATAATAAGCAAAGACTTTCTCTTTCGATTCTTGAAATCTTAAAAAAATACGTGCTTCGTTCCTACTGGTCATTTAGGTATAGAAAAAAAAATTGATGGTCGACAATGAAAATCAAGAGATAAAGTAATTTTTTTCCCTTTGAATAAATTCCTATAAAAACTCAATTGAGTTTTGCCCAATCGATTGATTGATTAAAATTGTTCACTTCAATTTCTTCTTTAAGTAAACGCCCTTTCAATGCTTCCAAAGCTGATATAAACTCTTTTTGATTTTCTTCTGTTAATTTTTTATCATTTAGACATAACTCAGCGTACTTTTGATATTTTAATAGATATGATTGTAAGTCATTGAATAATGTTTGAAAACTTTTTTTCATTTCTCTGTTGGCATTTTCTACAATATCTGTTTGAATTTGTTTCAAATTGGCTTGAAGACCTTCTATACATTTTTCTTGTATTGTGGAACGCGATACAATCCAAGTAGACTTTCTTTCTGTTAATGTTATAGGAATAAGTCGATGAAAAATTGTCGGATAATACGGCTCCATACGTTCAACATCATTGTCATTTAAATGAATTTCATTTAATTTCAAGTCAATTTTGATTGGAACTATTTGTTGAAGATTAAACGTGCTTTGTAATCGGTCCCTTGCACATTGAAGAATATTTCTCATTTGTTCACTTATTTGTGATTCAAAACTACGACATGCTTCCCAACAAATGCGATTAACTTCTTTTTCAACTGTTGAATAAGCTTGTTTTGATAGATCATTGACTAATTTAGTGATGTTATTCCTGAAAGCTGTAGCGTCTACTTCGCTGGAAAATTCGATTTCGTTTTCATCTCGACGGAAATATTTAATCAAGTTTCGCACAATAGTGAATCCTAAAAGACTACCACCGACAACGCCCGATCATATTGGACTATATGCTCTCATAGCATTTGTTACGATTATACCAAAAGTAGCACCCGCTGCTACGCCAATATGCGTTTGAATTACTTCGGTGTTTTCTATTTGCTTGTTACGTTGTTGTTCTTCGTCTTGATCATGCCATTTTTTATTATTTTTGCTAAATATTTCCGTTACTTGTGCATTGCATATATTTAATGTATTTTCAAATGCTGATTTAAGATTATTTTCAAGCGTATTGCTTATTTTCTTCAGAGCTTCTAATTGAATGGTTTTAATATGATCTAAGGCTTCCAAATCTTGATCTAAATCCTCAATTTCTTTACGCAATTTTTCGGTCACTTGTTTCAAACCATTAAGACGAATATCAACGTCGTTTGTAAGACTTGTATTTAATCTTTGGCAAGTTGTAATTGCTGATTTAAAACATCGTGATATAACTTCACCCAATACCGTTTTAAGGATTTTATCTAAGACCTTATCCAGTCCTGACTTATTATATAAATGTTTGGCATACTTTTCAACGTCTTCCAATTTACACTCTTCTAGCTGATCGCTCCAATCCAGAGGACAACATATTTCTAAAATATCTTTAACAATCTCAGAAGTTTTTGTGTCAATGGTATGGCCATGGGCACGCTTTTTGTATTCAGCCAAGAAGTTTTAAGCAATAAGAGCGTATTTTCCACTCAACTCGAAAACATGATCCATTTTGACTTGATATAAATTAGCAACGTATTGACGTAGTTCGTCCGTCGGCATATCTTTTCGTTGACGTTGATCAGCTTTACTAATTAAAACATAAATGCCCCATGTTTGCTATTGCGGTCAGATTGCCACGCAGTTGCGGCGCAACTGCGATCGCACTGTGACACGTAATTGCGAAAAATTGCGACGCAGTTGCGCGCAATTGCGCCAAAATGAATCGCAACTGCGCGTAACTGCGATAAAAAAATCGTAGTTATAGATAATCGCAAAAAGGAGCCTCATATTAGCACAATTCGATATTCATAGTGTGACATGCGTTGCCTTATTGATAATCCATGGCCAAAATCTTCGAATTTAGCGAGAAGTATAATTTATTCTTTCATATTTATTTTATGTTCATCAGTACATGTATAACAAAGGTATAAGTTTCGAAAAAAAGGATACTCAATAAATATCACATAGGAAAATTGTATCCGAATAATAAAAAAGTTGAGTTCAACGAATATCCAGCAGTAGAACACGATCAGATTAAGTAGAATGAATGTTTGCCGTGTCGTGTGCTAAAATAAATGAAAAGAAAACAACTTGTTTACTTGATCCTTTGGAATTCGAAATTAAAACGTAGTCATCGATCAATAGATTTATGATTCAAAAGAAATGAAAATAAAAAAATGAAACTTTTCCTACTAATCGCTATACCTTTTCTTGCCTTCCCGATGATTGTTCGTCGCTTAGCCAATATGACATTGTGAAGCCAAATCCATATGGTTTCAAGTTCGTCTTCAGGTAAACGAAACTTACTTCGAACTGCTTCTGAAATCAAATCAGTTAATGGTACGAGAACTAACAAATAATATATAGAAACCCTTCAGCAATTGATATCGATCATCTTTGATCACATCTTTCGTCTCCAAATTGACTAACTCTTCTGGTTTAAAAATAACATCGATCAACGATGTCACGTAACGATTAGCATGTTCTTTCACACCGGAATATTTTAACAAGTCGATGACAGATCCATCGGTTAATGTATACAGCTGAATAGAATATTCAAATTCAATGTTTATATATCCATCGCTACAAATTTATCCATCATACCAAAGTCGTGAGGTAATCAGTATTATCAATTGAATCATCTATGCCATCTGGATTGGTCAACGAGATGTTCAACTACAGCAAAGAAATGAATTGAGTTTTTGTGTAAGATCGAATTACCTTTTGTTTTCGTAAGGTACTTTGCATCTTTTTCTGATTGCTATACAGACATTTCAGCGTAGATTAGTTTTTCTCTTGTTTCAAGAGAATAGGTTTCAAATATTGAGATTCGAATTTTTTCACTGTAATCAATAACTGTTGTAGAGTAGCCGATGTGGACGTACTTGACTTGTGCTTCTTATTCTTCGATTTTGTGTTATCTTCAGTCACGTGGCGACCAACAAATGTAGGGGTTTCATTTGTCGTCAATCGCTCTGGATGTGAACGAACATGAATATTCACAGGTACTTCGTCTTCGGTTTCACTCGATGCACTGCTCGAGTCATCTTTTTCATCAAACGATGCGTTGGGTAACGGTTTTTGTCGAGATTGTTGTCGGTGTGTTTGTAATTTACTCAATACTTCAATACTAGACGATGATGTGCAACTTTTATCCCGTGTTATCGATAAAGTTTCATTGACTGATACCTCGCCATTCTTCGTTACTTCTATATAAAAAAAACTTTGTGTATAAATATTTATCTTGAAAAATTCCCACTTGAACCACTTGATGATAAAGGCGAATCGAATTCGTCTATTGAAAAGAAGAAAAAAAAATTGTCTCATATATAAAGTAAATATATCTAAATTACTTGATTTATCAACACCAATGTCTATTCTAGATTGAGTATCTGATTGAATATTCGCATCTTTCTCTATAAAAATGTTAAAATAACGAGTTAACGACATTTTCGTTCGACGAAACCCTACCGGCAAATGGAACACCAAGAAGTGAAGGTATTTCAGGTGGATTTCCTAGATTAGATCATTAATTTCAAAATGAAATAAAGTCAGTCATTTATATATTTCTTACTCTTGTGTCGTTTCGACGAATTCTCGTCATCGTGACGCTCGTAATCGCTTTCGATTTCGGGATTCACCGTTTTCCGAGTCAATTGATCAGCTGCATGACCACATTCCATAAGAGTACCTACGGAAAAAAGCAGTGAGCAGATCAAATGCCATGTAATAATGCAGTGAGCTCATGGTAAAACTCTTATGTGAAAACGAACATGTCTACTCGGTATATGTGGCGTGTGTTTCTCGAAATTCTTACCTTCCTGAAGAACAACACCGGTGAATTTCTTTCTACCACTTTGAACGAATACAAATCCATCGTGTTCAGCTGGTGAACATTGCTTTGCTTTCACAACTGCAATTGAATTATCCGAAGGAAACAAAACCAATTTATAAACTTCAGTTTCGGGAATTGTTCGTCGGTTCAAATAATGCTTAGCATAACTGTTTGTTGTGGACATTGTCGAATAATAAAGAATCTAAAAGCTAATCGATCTAGACAAAAGAAATCAAATTATTAATCATGTTCATAGTCTAATCGTATTTCCGATAAACAGAAGACATTATCAAATGGAACTTTTACACATTTATGACGTATTTCGGTAATAGGAATGAGAATTAATTCATCAGATGGTTCTACTAAAGGAAACAACTCATTCGCTTTCAAATGTAATGAACAAGGAATGTCAACGTAATTCGTTATACATTTTTCACTTAGTCGATATCGTTGAATGAGAGCATAAAATTGCTCATTCGTTCGAACAAAGACGATAATATTTCCATATCGTAAAAGTTTGTGAACTGGATCGCTAAATGAAACGATGAAGCTTCGGCATTTGAATGGTTGATCGTAAATAGTTGTGTGATACGTAACAAAGAAATTCTTGAGTCGCAAGTGGAATGTGCACGAATTCAAATCGATTCCATTGGTTTCGAATTGTTCTAATAAAATGGGCCGATACGTAGTAAGTCGACGGTCATCCAACCTAATTTCCTAGAGTATTGTTTTCCAAAGTGGACCAGATTAGTAAAAGGTCAGACACTTACATTGACAACAGATAACGTTGGAACTTTGGTCTTGGCTTGAACCGTGCTTTGCAGATCAATCCAGTAAGAAATTTGACTACCAAGATTTTTACTGCCATGAGCTTTCTTTTGAATAAAACGAATACATGATTCAAAACCAAAGGCAGAAGTGTGACCTAGACCACCATGACGTCTCACTTGTTGAGCAAGATGAATATGGGCATGGAGAGAGAACAATTCGATCGAAGGATCATGTACTAATGTTGAAGTTTTACAATAATAATTGATAATATCTTCTGCCAGATTGGTTTCATCATTGGATTTAGGAGCATGAAGCATGATTATCGATAAAGAATACAATAGATAATGTGAAGCCAAAAGCCGTGGAAGATGTAATGTGACGACGGGCACGCCCACATTCAATACAAATAATCGACTGTTTTTCGCTTTCCATTGCTCTGCATGCTCAATGGATTCTAAAAAAGGTATACTCAAATTGTGTGGCAAAAGGAGTTGATCCAATGAAACATCGATTGCATGTAGGGCTGATTTGTCAACACGTTGACACCAACGTTTGATTAAAGATGGAATATGTCCCAGACATATGAGATGCATATAATCAAACGTAATTTGAGAAGGATATTCAAAGACCTAAATTAAAAAAGAAACAATTGAAAAATCGAATAAGATAAGTTGAAGTCATTTTGAAAACAATATTCATGGATAACTATTGTGGTTAACTCTGTATGACTGTCATTTGCAAAAGCGTTCTACTTGTTTTGAAATTATACGCAATTTGCGGCAAAAAATGGGATAAAACAATCATGACAGTATTATGATCCAAACTCTTACTTACCTCAAGCAATGTTGAAAGACCTTTTATACCACGGATCGACACAGCTTTCCCATGGGCAGATTTCTTTTGTGCTTCTTTGGCTGCATCCAGGTATTCGGCATGTGTGCGAGGTGTAAGATTATTGCGAGTAAACGGATACACGACGACCTTGTACAGACCACTCCATTCTCCTAAATAAAAATACCAACTTACTTTATCCAAAAATTAACTGGACACGGAGAAAATATCGAAACATTAGTATTTTTATGAATATCACACAACGAAAAAGTATTAACGAAACTAAACGATGTGACGTAATTCGAAAGCGAGCTAACAATTAGCCGACTATCTACCAATGATATTCGGCGTATTGTATTACTAGGATATATGTTTAGTTCTCTCGACATTGAAACATTGTAGTCGAGAAAATAACCTAAAACTTGGATTAACATATGGAACGAAATCGATTTCTATGACATAAATGAGTGATATCAATTAGATCACACCCTTAGTAACTAAAACTCCGCTGAGTACAAAAGCTATTGAAATGGTAATACATACCTTTACTACAGCATTCTGTGCATGCTGAATAACCATTGAAATTAATTGTTCTACAGAATAACGCTTTCGCGGGCAAATCTGACACAAAGTACTGTGTTTGTAAAGTGATTTGGTATTCATAACCGTTGATGAATATCGATGTTCCACGATTGATGAGATGTTTAAGTTCTTCGATAGTTTCTTCTAGAAATACGTTCGCATCAGGTTTCTTTTTCGAAGTCCACAAAGACATCAGAATAATATTCTTTTGATAGTCACGTACTGGTGGTGGTAATTCAACTAACGATGCGAAACACGGCCATAAGCTTTGTTTCGATGATTTCACAACGGGAGCACCATCTGTATGAACGATTAGAGTAACACGATTAGACATTGAGTCAGATTGATTTCGGTAATGATCCGCAAAACAAACGTCTGTAGCGGGGTAAAGATCACATCGATTGAGAAGCGGTTGATTTCTCGTCAAGATTGCTTGAATTTGCGAACGAATATCTAAGTGAGTTAATTCAACGATTTCGTTGGATTTCAACATACGATTTCTCTTGATACATTCTTCATCAACACACGATTTCACTCCATGTAGATTCTTTCTACAGTGCTTCAAACAATTGGCACATAAATAAGACGAATGTGATGTAGATACATGGCCAAGAGCTTTCAAAATTCCTTTCCAAGTTGTTGGTAATCGGTTGGGTGTCGGTAGAAGCCCTTTAATGATACGAAGCAAACCGATGACAGTTCGTTTGTTTCTATTAAAATCAATCATGAAAGATGTTAGTCGGCGTACAGCATCTTTTGCTGTGATTCGACTACCGTCAAATAACCAATCAGAGTTATCGATTTCGATCGGTTCTTCGTTGGGTAACTGAGCATCATCGAATTGATCGATTTTGTAATTAATTGATTTCTCCGCTGACACACCCAGCGGAAGACTCGCTGATAAAGACTCAGTTTTACCTTCATCTGTTTCGTTATGGTCTGACTCATTATCATCGCTGCTACTAATGTCCACAGACCGAAACAATTGATCTATGATTTCCCGATGTAGGTGACGTTGAGCACGACGTGCTTTAACTTTTTTCGACGCAGCAGCTTTGAATCGCAGCATGAATCTCTAATGAAGAAATATCAAACTTCAGAATATAAAGAATTTTGTCTTCAACTAAAGCTAGAAAAATGGAAACGGTGCGACTTCCAAGTATCTATTGAGGTCTGTCAGATATGAGATAATCCGTCAGAAAGACTTCTTGCAATACACGAATGAGGAAAAAAACGAAACAATATTATCTTCTAATACTATAACTGGTGTCTAATTTGAAGATTTTTGATCACGCTGATCGAAAAGGAGCATAGGAAGCCATGTAAATCTCAAAGACCGGCATCGGAAACCCATTTCGCTGAAAAACTGCTATCTCAAATCCTATTGGTCGAAAAATGATGACTCATGTTTCGGATGACTCATACCAATGACTCATCTAACAGATGACTCATGTGGATGCTAGGTGTGAATTATCTATCGAAGTTACCTGCTAAAATATTGAAGTGATTCGGTAGTTGGAAGTTGAAGAAATGAGCTTAAACGTCTTTTACATCTCCTTTTATACTCTACTAACGATATTTTCCATTGTTATTTAAATCATCCAATAAACAATCGAGGTAAATGCGGTAACTGCGTCGCAAATGCGCGCAACTGTGACGCAGGAAGCGCAGTATCATTTATGTGGCTGACTGCGATAACTGCGGCGCAGCTGCGATCGCAAATGCGTCACAGTAAGCGCAGTATCGTGTATGTGGCTCTGGCTGCGGCCACTGCGACGCAGTTACGCGCAATTGCGTCGCAAAAAAGCCAATGCGCGCAATTGCGACGCAGCTACTAAAAAAGAGGCGACATGGGTAAAATTCTCTTATAAAATTTCGAAATAAAGGCAGTAGCAAAAACTTTGCAGGAGATCTTTTCGTTTCTAAATACAATTGATTCATACTTTAAACGTTCTTATTCACAATAAATAAACACGCGCATTCTCTTTCTCCCATCGTATGAGTAGAGTTTCAATGTGCACATTTGAGATAAGTTATTTTTAAACCATGTTGATGAATCAAATTCATCACTTAATTCTTTCCATTGAATAAATACAACATACATGTCCACTTCGATAAAAACAGAAATTGATACTTAACTGTGAATGACGCGTACTTTACGATGAGCTACTTCCATATTATGTCCATTCGATCTTTTTTGTACATCAACGTCGAGTTGTTCTCGACCTGCAATAGTTATATGTGTGGGATCATTCACGCACCATTCTCGAAAAGCTTTCTGGCCAACCCATGCAGGATGAATGCCTATTCAAGAGTCGTGACTTCTACGCCAACGTCGTTCCTTATCTTCCTCGTGGCCATCTTTTATATCAAAATGGCCTAAATTGACTTCCACATCGAGTACGTAGGTATGTTGACCATGACCTCGATGACGAGCCACCGCTTCCGCTATTTTCCTCTCAGCGAAGTAATATCCTGGGCCGAGTCGTCCTTCCGTAGAAGGCTGTAAGCCTATTTCATCGATACCATGTGCATTGGCACCTGCTGTACCATGATGTAGATAAATTGAAAATACCGTCGATCATATCACATCGAGCGACTTTCGAAAGAGAAGAAGTTACTTTACCAGTCAAGCGATTCTTTCTTTCAGGATGTCCATATTCCTTCAGTATGTCTCGCTGATTAGATAACAGTGCTTACCGTATTTGCAATTCTGACGTGCCATAGGAAAAAGGCGAATCAGTGTTTGTTATTCATATTACCTACGCCGCACAGATTTCTAGTGATAGCATTTCGTAAATAAAAGAACATCATTTGCAATGGCTTTGTAATTATATAGAAATCAAACACTGAGCAGATGACTACGTGCGACCAAAGATTACGTCCGAAAATATACAGGTCTATTAACATGGACTGATTAAAATGTTATTCAATGTTGCAAAAATGAAATGACAAGAAAAGGTAGTTGTGAAGTTTATAAAGGAAAAACTTCTGTACATACGCATATTTATTAAAAAGAATTTTACTACATGAACGTGTTTTCATTTGTTTTGTCTTCAGGATATTCTCCATATAGAACCGTGCGCTGGCTCGACAGTAGTTCGACGAACGATAAACCAATGTTGTGCTTTCCAATACAAAGATAAACTACACCAAACAATAGACTTCAGACCGATTGTCAATCCACCATAAAAACCCAAAAAAGTTGTTATCATATACACAAGATTGATTTGATCCACGTGCGTATATCGGCATGTTAGTGGTGCACATCGTGAGCAATAACTTGAATAATTACTCGTATTGGACCACGACTCGATGAACAATTCGTCAATTAATGTACCAATCGGAACCGATGCGATCGGTGTAAAGCAAATGCTAATCGACAGATTCAAAGGTACTGCAACAGACGCAGTGCTAATGAACGAAAATAATCTATTCAAACATGTCATGTCATAGAAACATTCGAGAGTTGATTGTCGAAGACCATATATAGGTAGGCAGCCGCATACTAAACCTGTGAAATTCTCTTTTTTCTTGCCATTGACGAGTATAGATCGGGAACATGTGGGTGAAACATCACATGAGCACGGCTGACCAGTCTCATTGTATAATATTGAATTTGTCAATATATAATATCCATCTTTTGCCGATGATTCTTTCAAATTCCAATTGGTAAAGAATAGATTGTGTAATTGATTAGCATGCAGAATATCGTTGATGTATACATGCAATTGTTGAAAACGAGCTGGCGTTTCGTTGATGAAATTATTCACAAGCGAATCGATTCGAGTCTGAAACGATTGCCATGTAAGTGTCTCGAGCGTTACCAATTTTTGAGCGAGGAATACGTTCATTTGTTGCTCAGTAATATTCTTTGCCAACGAACATAACAATGAAAGAAGACGAAATTGTGAACTGATGACTTTTCCGTCATTGAACAAAACAAATGTGGATGACGTATCCGAAACCCAGATGGAATTGATAAAATCCGAAGAAACAAAATAACTAGAACATACTTGATGGTATGCGGTTGGTTGTATGAAAAGAAATTCAGAATTCGGAATGGATACTTGTGAACATGGACATGTGAGCGACAATGAATATTGTTCTCGAAGAGAATCGAATATTGATTGTGTTGGAGATGATACTTCAGTTACATGTGTTTGGGGAGTGAAGGCAGTGAAAGCTGTCAAATTAACAAATGTTATGACAAAGGAAATGACATAGACACGAGAAGCTATCTGTAGGCGATGGTTAAGTCTCATTTGATCAACGGCTGATAATTCTTGAGATGGATGATGTTTGAGTCGCTCCTGATAGAAGTTCATTTTCCGGACCGAATATTGAAGTTGAACAGCCACAGCTGATAACTTACGGCGCATACCTAAAAGCACATATATTTTCAGTTATATACCGATCGATACAGAGTCATTCAATTCTTACTTCTCTCTACAGTGACATCGTCCTCGGTATCCCTACACGTGCGACAGAAATGATGTGTTCGTCGAATCACTTTGACAACTAGAGGAGTGAGAATTCTAAGAGCAACACTAAGACCGCCTATGATACCAAGTACACGTGCAATAACATAGGCATGATTGAATCGCTGCATATAAGTGTACGTACATTTCTGTGGTGCACACTGTTGATAATAAGAACTGTAATTTGTCGCATTTATCCATTCCTCAATAAATAGCTGTGAGGCAATATTATTCACTGTAACATCAAGTGCGAAACGACTGTTTACCGAAATATCAAGTGGAATAACGTTGATAACACGTGGATCGATAGTGGAGTTTGCAGTTCCAAACGATTTCCACTGAATGAGCATTTGGATACATGATGCATTATAGAGACATTGAAGGGACGAAAAAAGAAGTGAATCTACCGGTAGACAACTAAGAACGAAGCCAGGAATAGTTTGATTCGGTCGAATGGTATTTAGTTTACAACTATCCGTCGTGCAGTAGAATCCTTGAGGTCGTGTACAAAGAGCACTTAAACCACAAGAACAATTATTATCATAAGTATTGACTGATGCAAAAAACCAAGTTCTATTATAGGGAGTGCCCGTATACCGTAACACAGCGTTAGTCTGACCATGAATGATGAACTGATTCAGTTGAATAGAAGTTTGGATTTGTTTAAAGAGATCGAGAAATGATTTCATAGTCTATAGAAAGTCAAATATTAGTCACGAATATTCTCATTCAAAATTTTCTTTCCTTACCTGTTGTTGAAATTGCTGAATGAGCGAATAGATCTGTTCATTGAATACATCATTGGACAATACATGAGTACCGACAAATTGCATGTTATTAAAGGTAGTTAGTTCATTGGTAACTGTCTCGTTAGACATTTGACATAATATTTGAAGAACGGCGAATAAAGATCCACCTTGAACACGAAAATCGAGAGTGTAAAGAGGTGTGGAGCGTTTATTGAAGTACAGCATCCAACCGTCGTTTTTAATGAAGTCACTAGTGCACACTTGATGATAACGAACGTTAAGATCTATAATCGATGAGTAGGGTACAGATAGATGAGTGCATGGGCAGATAAGTGTTGTAAAGTCTCGTCTAGATAACTGTTTACACTTATCTATTGATGGTTGATTGACAGTGACCGTGTACAATTGAGGAAAGAATGATGTGCAAAAGAGTAAAACAACGATTCCAATGAGTAGTAATAGAAAATACAGACGTGTAGAATATAATCCATCGATGGGATCCGCTAATGATCGAAAGATATTGAATCTTATAATCTTCGTTTTGATTTTATGAATAATAGAGAGCAAGCGCTTTTTGTAACCTATAGAATGTATTTTCACATAGAATAATGAAAACTAACAAGGGAGTACTCACGTTCAGTATGAGTAATTTTTCTTTTAGGTAATCTAACATCGCCTGTCGTAGAACAGCATTTCGATTGTTGTTATTCGTCGAATGATTCGAGTGATGATTGGTGCAGAGATGTACATAATCATATTGAGACCACCAAGAAGACTAATTACTGTCACAATAGCATACAATATATTCAATCGTCGTTCATATGAATAGGTACATGACGATGGTGAACAGACTTTATAATAAGCAGAGAAGTTATGCTCTGCATTCCATACTTCAACGAAGAGTTGATCTAAAAGCGTGTTCACTTTCGTACTAGAATTAAACCGAGACGATGATAATGGTGAAACTGTCGAAAAGCTAGGAATGTAGTTTCGCATTTGCTCTATGCAGGACGAATCATAGAAGCATTCGAGTGTTGATAGTAGCAATGAATTGTAAGGTAAGCAGCCAATCATCAGACCCGGTATAGTGAATAATACCGATAATTGCGGAGTCATTGTCGAAATTGACGCATCATTTGCCGCATTATAGCCCGAGAAGTTGTAAAATTTAGCTTGTAACGTACAATCAATATCATCATCGCACGAACAAATTGTACTTGAAGTATAATATTGCATAATACTGTTACTAAGAAATGAACTTCCAGGCATGACTCTATAGCGGAGATTGGTACGCAGCGCCGTAAAAATATGGTTTTGAAAAATATGTAATGAAAGAAAATCACTGATGTGTCTTATATTACTGGTGGC